ATGGATTCAGGAAAATTGGTTAGCTGGCCTTCATCTTTGGAGGTGGGAAGCACAGTACGTATCTTCATTCTGAAGGATAGGTAGAGTTGTTGGAGTTGGGCAGGTCATTTTAATTGTGATGTCTGTGCACTTTTGGAAAGATTGCTAGAAAATTGAGTGATGGTGAATGTACTAATGTCTGTGGTCACCATACCTTGGTGGGAAGTGGCCAGTGCTAAAAAAAAAAAAAAAGTTAGAGCATAACAAAACAAAATAATACATTCTGGCAAAGTGAATGAGAATGATTTGATTGCACCCAACTTTATTACTACATAGTAATCGGCATTATGCTTTACAGAAACTTGTATACATTTTAAATAAATTTAAATTGGTGTAAAATTTTAAATTGATTTTTTCATAAATTTGTACAAACATCTGATTCACTTGTGAATAGTTGAGTTTTAATGTAGGTGGTGCCAATAGCACCAAAATATAAACATGCATTCCAAGCTGACTGTCATTCTGTTATTCAACAACCCTTCTGCTTATTAAGGAATCAATTTACATTAACCAATGTCTGCTAACATAAAATCACTTTAATTGTAATGTAAGAACACTAAAATAAGTGTGAATGCTTTTTCATCTCAGTGGTGGTAATAGTAATACTGTATTACTGTAGCTACTGTATACATATTTATCATATGCACTGAAACATTGTAGAAACTCTTTCTAAAATCAAGGTGCATCTAATATGTTGGTTAGTTACTGTATATGATTAAAAATACAGAAATTATATTTTACTTCCTCATCACTCTCTTTCATTAACCTCACATTATGCCATTACTGCAAGTCTCAATTTTGCTGATAGCCTTTGTGGTTTAGTGCTGTATAGCCTTTGTGGTTTAGTGCTTCTTTTTGATTATAATAATACAGTGGACCCCCGCATAACGATCACCTCCGAATGCGACCAATTATGTAAGTGTATTTATGTAAGTGCGTTTGTACGTGTATGTTTGGGGGTCTGAAATGGACTAATCTACTTCACAATATTCCTTATGGGAACAAATTCGGTCAGTACTGGCACCTGAACATACTTCTGGAGTGAAAAAATATCGTTAACCGGGGGTCCACTGTAATGAGGAGGCAGGAGCATAACCAGGTAACCTGGCCCTGGCACTAGCCACATTATCAGGCCCCAGCACTAGGCACATTTTCAGGTCTCAGGAATAGGTACATTGTTGGGCCCCTCCCCACTTCGACTGAAAATGAGAATTGCACTTGTATAGCTGGGGGCCCCAACACATTTGCCTCCTTGACGCTTGTAGTCGCAACATGTGTCTTTCTTTGCAATGCTGGTGACCCCCAAAAATTTTCCTTCTCTTTAATTCTGGAGGTACGACACTACACTCTTTATAATGGCTGTAATTTTTTGTGTATGTATGTATGTGTGCAGGTGCATACTTATACATACGTGGTTATAGGGGTTATGTGGTTACAAGGGTCGAGTCACAGCTCCTGGCCCTGCCTCTTCACTGGCCACTACTAGGTACACTCCTGGCTTCAAGAGCCTTCTTGTACCTCTTTTCAAAGCTATGTATGGATCCTGCCTCTACCACTTTACAAATTGTCCCACTTTATGGCAACTCTATGGCTTTAGAAATACTTCCTAACATCCCTACAGCTTATCTGAATTTTCAACTTCCAGCTGAGCCTTCTTGTTCCTACGCCCTATCTCTGCAAGATTCTGTCCCTCTTTACCATGTCTATTTCTCTGTATTTTGTACGTCGTTATCATATCCCCACTAGTCCTCCTGTCCTCCAGTGTTGTCAGGCTAAGTTCCCTTAACCTCTTCTTGTAGGACCTACCCCTTAGCTTTGGGACTAGACTTGTTGCAACCCTCTGTGCTTTCTCTAGTTTCTTGATATACTTGATTAGGTGTGGGTTCCATACTGGTGCTGCATACTCCAATAATGGGCCTGATGTACACGGTGTACAATTTCGTGAATGACTCTTTATTTAGATATTGAAAAGATATTCTCAGAATTCCTAGATGTGCATTTGCTGCAGCAGTTATTTGGTTGATATGCATCTTAGGGAATAAGGTCAATATAATACTCACCCCAAGATCCTTTTGCTGTGTGTTTGTACTTACCAGTATGGGGTTGCAGGGTTTGATTCCCAGCTCCTGGTCCTGTCTCTTCACTGGTTTTGTGTGTGTGTGTTTTACACGGCAGTTTTATTATTATTGTATATAATAATAAAAGACCACGACTCCCTCAAATCACTAAGGTCAAAACTCATGTTAACCCTGTTTGTTAACGTAGATATCCAACCAGGCCCGGTGGCCTGGTGGCTAAAGCTCCCACTTCACACACGGAGGTCCCGGGTTCGATTCCCGGCGGGTGGAAACATTTCGGCACGTTTCCTTACACCTGTTGTCCTGTTCACCTAGCAGCAAATAGGTACCTGGGTGTTAGTCGACTGGTGTGGGTCGCATCCTGGGGGACAAGATTAAGGACCCCAATGGAAATAAGTTAGACAGTCCTCGATGACGCACTGACTTTCTTGGGTTATCCTGGGTGGCTAACCCTCCGGGTTAAAAATCCGAACGAAATCTTATCTTATCTATCTTATCTTAAACTGACATACATAGCTTGGAACTACTACTACCTCTAACACAACTTTCACTACTTTCTTCTTCATTTTATTATTTTTTCCTTCTCCCATCCCCTCAAGGAAGGTTCCTTGATGTTGGTGAGGGGCTCTTGATTTAGGGAATTGGATCTGTGCTCCAGTTCCCCGAATTAAGCCTGAATGCCTTCCACATCCCCCCCCCCTCCCAGGCGCTGTATAATCCTCCGGGTTTAGCGCTTCCCCCTTGATTATAATAATAATTCCTCCCATTCCTGCCTCTAGTATATACGTACCGACTCCCAACCTTCATGCTTCTGTCACTAGTTAATAATCCAAGTGGGACCGAAACGTTATCCTAAGTTTTTTTTCTCATGTGATGGTTATTTATGTAAGTTTATTTAGCCACAGGTACACAAAAGTACAATTATATATAGTGTAGATTAAATAGGATAACCCCCCAAAAAGTGTCAAAGTGGCTTATTTCCGCTGTTTCAGTCACAGAATGGCCTGGTCATGGACGGCTGCGGGGGCGCTGACCCCTGAAACACCCTCCAGGTATACAGTACAGTGTTTTGTACCTTTTTATTCTTAATGAACTATTACCCTTTCCTCCCTGTATAAACAGCAAAACATCTCTTGCCAGTGTAGAAATTCAAACCAACACTATACCAATCTCGCTGATGCTGGCTCTATGGCCGCTCGAAAAAATATAGCAGATTGCTGGGAAAAAAATGTGTGGATTCCTCTCAAGTGAAGTTCCTCGATGCTGGTGAGGGACTCTTGACCCAACTTGTTAATGTAACATAGCCATCAAATGGGTGGCAGTCAAAAATATTACAAGGCACATAATGGGTCAAGGAACTGGACCTCGAAGTCTCGATAACTAAGCTTTCAAGGACCCCAATGGAAATAAGTCACTCTGACCTTTTTGGGGTTATCCTAGGTAATCTACACATGTTGCAATGTATAATAATTTATCTAACTGTATTTATGTGTAATTACCTGAATAAATTTACTTAAAATAAACCGAAGAACCGTTCTTGTCTTCCCAGTTCTCAGTCTATATGACCCTTAAGGGTTTAACACTTCCCCATGATTAAAGCAAAGAAACCCGAGGCCTCATAACGGAGCAAGAGACAATGCCTCGACCAGGAATACTGGTCTATGTAATATATATATATATATATATATATATATATATATATATATATATATATATATATATATATATATATATATATATTGTAGATGAGTGTAGCCTCGTGATGTGCATTACTCTCTAGTTCCTTCAAAAGTGGTTTGTTAATGTTGAAGTGATCTTGATCCAGGGAACTGAACTTCGATTTCCCAGGCGCTGCATGATCACTAAGGGTTTAGGGCTCTCCCCTACATTAGTATTATTGCTACTATTACGACTAGGTTAGGTTAGGTTTGTCAGGAAACAGGACAAGTGTTTCCTGACGCTGGTCTTATATTATGACCCGCTGCTGTATAGCCCTTGTGGCTTAGCGCTTCTTTGGGTTATCCTAGGTTCTCTACACATATGCTGCTATGTATGATAATTCTATGTAACTGTATTTGTGTATACCTGAATAAATTTACTTACTTACTTACTTACCCGCAGCTGAAGCTTTTAGTCATCTGACCGAAGCCTTCCACTGGCTTACCCCTCCACCACTTTAAAAATTACGGTTATAATTATAACCCTTAATTATTATTCTTTATCACGCATAGTATTACTTTACTACTATTACTATCCTGCTACCACTATTACTACTAATACAGAGAACTATAAAACGATTAAGGACAATATCTAAACAGATCCCAGTAAAATGGTACATAACTCGCTGCTTTACTTAATGATTATGAAAAATTACACTTAAAACTGGCCCAGGTCTCGCTAATAATGTACCTTACGCTTACTTAAAAACATTTTTATTTTTTTTTTTTGGCAAGAAGAAAGGTGTTTAAGACAGGTGTGGTTATTTATATAGCTGTGCCAGTCATGATATTCAGAGCATGAGAGTGAACGCGAGTCCCTTAATGTGTTTCTGGGAAGGCAATAATTAATTTTCATGTGAGAAAGCCATTAGAAATTAAAAGATTTTCTCTCAGGAAGTGAAATGAACCAACAACCAAGTTGTTTCTCCAACTTTGTAACCCGTGTCCGATTTCCTCTGGCTACTGGCTTCACTCTTTTATTTCCAACACAAATAAATATATTTTTCATTGATATACTCCCTATCCATAAGCTAGATGTAGAAAATATCATCTGGTATTATATGAGACGAGTATCTGTTAGAGTTACATTGACAGATGTGTAGAAATATTGAAATAATTGTTATTGATGCCAGAGGAAACATTTTAGTAAGTTAGTACACGTAAAGCTCAGTTATGGCTGTCTTATCCTCTGGCTGATCTTTATTTTAAGTGAGTCTCTGTCTCTTGGGGCATTATTACACACGTTTATTTAACGTCTGTCAAGCCATGATACCAGCGGAGTCTTAAAATCTCAAAGATATTCTCTATTGCACCGCCAACAGGGAATTTAAGGCAGATTTTTAGGTAGGATACTAGACTCAGGCATCAGCTGCTGGTGCAGACGAAAGTCCAGCTTGTCAGCTGTTATCAGTCTCTCGCTAATTATTCAGACATTCTGCTTATTTAGTTACGTTAAATGAAGGGCGGAGGACACGAGGTGTTGCGTAAGACATAATTAACGATATCTTTGTAGTTTTCTCTTTAAAGTGTTGAGAGGATCCAGGTGAATGACAGGTGACGGGAATTTACTAATACCAGGAGCCTACAGGTCACCTGAGGTATTACGGGTCATTTGAGGAGTCTACAGGTCAATTAAGGTACTACAGGTCATTTCAGGGGACCACAGGTCAGTTGAGGTGAAGACAGGTCATTTATGGTACCATGTCATTTGAGGTGCTCGCAGGTCAGTTAAGGTAGCACAGGTCATTTGAGGGGTCTACAGGTACCACAGGTCAGCTTTGGTACCATAAGTTATTTGAGGATCCCATAGATCAATTGAAGTATCACAGGTTCATTTTAGGAGCCCACAGACCACATGAGATATCACAGGTCAGTTGAGGTCCTAACAAGAGGTACACATGTTCAAAAATTAGGTGCTGCATGTTCAATATGGGTTTATCGCATGCTTTGAATATACTGTAAATGTAGAAAATTAGGTAACATTTCATACATTATTGAAAGCCTCTGGTTATGTGGAGCATTTTGGGCTCGAAAGATAGCAAGTTATTCTTGATTAAATCTCAATTGTGTTCTTGGTCGACTTCTTTACATTTTTGTTGTATTTGGGGAAAGGTTCTATCACAATTGTGAGTTGGTCATACAAGACTGACACGGCTTTCACGCAGAAAGGCGCCAGGCGTCTCTTTGTGCAGCTTGTCAGGTGTTTTATAATCTGAAATTAGGTCTATGATGCTGGTGGGTTTAGCACTTAGTTTTGATTATAATAATAATGATAATTAACCCTTAAACTGTCCAAGCAGATCTACGTTCACATGCGTACTGCTCCAAAAGTAGATCTACTTTTTTTTTACATATTTTCAAATATAACAAAAAAAAAATAGATCAAAGTTTTTTTACACGTTTTCAAATGTAAAAAAAAAAAAAATCTACTTTTTTTACATAATTTCAAATGTTGAAAAAACATAGATCTACGTTTGGACAGTTTAAGGGTTAAACATGTTTTGCTTAATTCTTCTATTTAATCATAGGGCACTTGGGATTCATTTTCAGTCTTCTCTTCAATGTCTGGACACACTTGCATTATATGTTCTCCTTTCAGAAAGCCGAACTTTTTAGTACAGATGTACTCAGACTCTTGATTAAAACATAACATTTGAATAATTTATTCTTATGCAGTATCATTTAGTATTAAGTTTGCTTTAAGAACACTCATTTGTGTAAACTGTTAATATTACTTAGCATTGAGCCTAGTCGGTCTGTTCGAAATGCTGTGCATACTATGGGCTTTGTAAATTGTTGAAAGTTGTGTATGTATACTATTTTGGAAGTAATTAGTAATTATTTTGATTTTGTACACAGTACATTCAGAAAATCTTGTAAAAATGCAGACCATTTTGAGCAGAACTGAGCTACAGTACTTATATACTCTAGGTATTACATGGGTTGAGTTGTATCTGTTAGCAAGTTGATATACAGGCAGGCCCCACTTTGTAACATTTTGCTAAAGCAGTGATTTTCAATTATACCCATTCTTCATTTATTCAGACTTCCTACAATAAGTTTATCCACCACTCACTAGAAGCTGAGGACAAATATTTTAAGGTAAGTAATGTGTGTACTGTATATACATTTTTTAGGTCTAGCCGTATTGCTCACTTTATACATGATAGTGTAAACATGTTATCAGACTTTTATATGCATTTGAAAGTGCAAAAAGGCTGTGTTTCACTTTACAGCAATTTTCACTTTATAGTAATAACTTGGAACCTAACCTGCTGTATAAAAGGGGCTCTCCTGTAATTACATTTGGTGCATAAAAAATCAGGTGCTGTACACCAGGAGTTAAACAACAATAACAATAAAAACTTATTATGTTGTGGTTATTAATTTATAGGCTTCATTATTAATTGTGTAGAGATATCTTAACACCAGGGATTCTTTGCAATTTAAGATGTTTGTCATTAGGAAAAATTAACTTTATAGTGTGTATATATAAAAAATCTTACCATTTGTCATTTTTCAGGTGGTCAGAGAAATGTTTCGTCAGCGATTAAGAGGTGGCCATAAAGTGGGAGCACCAAATTCTGTGAACAGATCCCTTCAAGGCCAAACAGGTTTTTCTCAGCAAACGGTGAGTTATTATATTTATGAGTAGTACTAAACCTGAAAGGGTCACATAGCACCTGGGGAGTGGGAGGCAATCAGGTTTGATCCAAAAAAGTGGAGGGTAGCTCCAATTCCTTGGAACAAGAATCCTTTACTGGTATCAAGGGATGGTGAGTTATTTTAATGTAGATAGAATAGGTGAATGCTATGCTTGTGTTTTTTTTTTTGTTTTTGTGTTTTGTGTTTGTATTGTTTTGTGTAATGAATATTTTGTGTGATGTATGATGACTATTGTCACCATGAAAGTAAGTTGTGTACGAATGAAGGGAGACCTGATCGAAGTGTATAAGTGGAAGATAGGTATTAATAAAGGGGATATTAATAAGGTCTTGAGGATGTCTCTCCAAGAGAGAACGCGCAGTAATGGATTTAAATTAGATAAGTTTAGATTTAGAAAGGACATAGGAAAGTATTGGTTTGGAAATAGGGTAGTTGATGAGTGGAACAGTCTACCTAGTTGGGTTATTGAGGCTGGGACTTTGGGTAGTTTCAAATCTAGGTTGGATAAGTACATGAGTGGGAGGGGTTGGATTTGAGTGGGACTTTCACATCAGAGCTTATTTCTTGGGTGGCATTGAAAATTGGGTTGGGCAAATGTTTTGTTAGTGGGATAAATTGTAAAGGACCTGCCTAGTATGGGCCAGCAGGCCTCCTGCAGTGTTCCTCCTTTCTTATGTTCTTATCATTCACCTGTGTGGGTGTGGGTGTAGATGTGTGGGGGTTGGATTTGAGTGGGTCTTGCACATAATAAGGTTATCAAAGCTTATTCCTTGGGTAGCATTGAAAATGGATTGAGCAAATATTTTTGTTAGTGGGTTTGGGTTTGAGAAGGATGTGCCTAGTATGGGCCATTAGGCCTGCTGCAATGTTCCTTCTTTCTTATGCTATGTTCTTAGTGTTAAAATACTAGCAATTTTCTTTTCTTTTCAGGGTAGCTTAATTAGACCACCATCTCAGTTTAGCACTTCTGTTCAGCCATCTCATCCAGAGCCCCCACTACAGTCAAGACAACATGAGCAATCGCAACAAAAGCATCAACATCCTCTGACAGGAAACAGTGGGTCAGGATGGTGCGGTGACAGTTCAGATGGTGCATGGAACTGGGGAGATGGTGATGCTTGGTCATGGAATGCAAATTTACCTACCAATTCTCAGCACCAACAGCTGAATCAGCACCAGCAGTCAGTGCTAAACCAGCACCAACAATCACTGCTGAACCAGCAACATCAGCATCAACCAGCACAGGAGTATGACCAGCATCATTCTTATTCGCAGCATTTGCAGTATGCTTCGCAACAGCAGTTTTCTAAAGCAGCCCAAAATGCACCTGTTAATAGTAAAAAGTCATCACTTAATCAGGATCTAGTTCCTTCTAATATCTCGCAGCATCCTCAGTTGCATCAGCCGCAGCTCCAACAGCATCAGCCACAGCTGCAGGAGCAGCAGCAGCTCCAACAGCAACAGCAATATGTTAATGGTAATACTCAAAATGGTCAGGGAACTGATGAATGGAGTGCAGATAATTGGGGTAATGAGTGGGGAAACACAGAAACCCACAATAATAATAATAATAATAATAAGCCAGCAAATTATGCCAAGCAAGAAAATCAGCCCCAACACCAGGATTACCACGGGTACCATCAGCAACAGCAAGTACATCAAAATTATCATCAGCAGCAGGCTCAGCAACAGCATCAGCAGCAGGCTCAGCAGCAGCAAGAGCAGCAGCAGCAGCAGCAGCAGCAGCAGCAGCAGCAGCAGCAGCAGCAACAACAACAACAACAACAACAGCAGCAGCATCAGCAACAGGCTCATCAACAACAACAACAGCATCAGCAACAGGCTCATCAACAACAACAGCATCAGCAACAGGCTCATCAACAACAACAGCATCAGCAACAGGCTCATCAGCAACAGGCTCATCAGCAACAGGCTCATCAGCAACAGGCTCATCAGCAACAGGCTCATCAACAACAGGCTCATCAGCAACAGGCTCATCAACAACAGGCTCATCAACAACAGGCTCATCAACAACAGGCTCATCAACAACAGGCTCATCAACAACAGGCTCATCAACAACAGGCTCATCAACAACAGGCTCATCAACAACAGGCTCATCAACAACAGGCTCATCAACAACAGGCTCATCAACAACAGGCTCATCAACAACAGGCTCATCAACAACAGGCTCATCAACAACAACAGCATCAGCAACAGGCTCATCAGCCGCAACAACTGCTGCATCAACACACGCATCAAGATTACCAGCAGCAACAGATGCATCAGTTATATCAGCATCAGCCACAGAAAGAATACCATCATCAGCAATATTTTTCTTTGCAACAGCAACAGGAGCCTGAGGAGCAACCTCTAAAGATAGAGCCACTCCACCAACAGTTAGAAAACCAGTACCATCATTCTCAGCAAGAACACCAGGAATATCAAGATTATAATTCTCAGCAACACCAATCATTAATGTCTCAAGAGTACAGCCAATCACATCAACAGCAGTCTCAGACAACTCGGCAGTCTGCTGAAGATGATTGGGGATGGGGTAACGATGATTGGCAGATAAATGGACAGACAACAGAACATCAAGAAAAACTTAATCAGCTGAATTCTGAGCGATTTAATGAGTTACAGCAATCTGTTGAGAACCAACCTACTGCTGAGATGAGGCTACCTGCTGAAATTCAGCATTTTCCTGAAATGGCTCCACCTACCAAATCCCAGCCTGCTGAGACTGGGCATCCCTCTGAGACCCAGCCTCCTGCTGAGATGCGGCCTCTTGCTAAGGTGGAACCTCCAGCTGAGACCCAGCCTCCCACAGAAACTCAACCTCTTTTCAAGGCCCAGTCTCCTGTTGAGAATTGGGTTCCTACTGAAAGACTGCATTCTGAAGACCTTCAAACAAAACACATTAATGAACAGGCTCTTCTCACTGAAGCAAAATCACATGACTATTTGAAGAGTAGTGAAGAATCTCAGAGGACAGTGAGTAGAGAGTCTGCTGGTGATGGATGGCCTGATTGTGAAGGAGACCATGTCCAAGTGCCAGAAACACTCTTAGAATTAGTGCAACACAGTCACACTCCAGAGGATCAAGCAAGAGATTTTCCTTCAGAGATAGCAGCTTCACACCAGGGTGATGAGAGATATGATATGCAGTTTCAACATGAACAGCCTTACCAGCTGCAGCTGCAACAACAGTATGATGATGGCTGGAGTCACAATAAAATTAGTAAACATCCTGAAAGTATTGACACTGTTCCTGGAAATTACACATCAACACAAGATACTTGCATGCTTCAGAACAATGCATCTCAAAGTAACTCTAAGTCTAGTAACACTAGAATGGCTGAACATGTTGAGCAGGACTGGAAAAAGGAGTCAGACGAGGTAAATAATTTGCAAAAGTTAACAGATGGCTATGTGGAAAATACAGAGCACCACTCTATTTTAGAACAACCAAACATGACCATGGATCAAAATCAAGCTCAGGGTAATCACCCAAATACTGTCAATGCTCCAAAAATTTCTAGGACTCAGTTTGATATGGTAGAGCCTGTGTCGAATGAACATCTAGCTCCTGTTGCACTAAGCAACTTGGATGACAGGTGGGGTGATGGTTGGGGAGAGACAAAAGCACCTGATGGACCAGATGAAATAACTGAAGTTTCTCAGAAACCTGATATGCATACCAGTGAAAGTTGTATTAATTCTGAACTTGAGCATTCACAAGAAACTCAAAAATCTATGCCACTCCATTCGTTAAATAATATGAACACGTCCACACTTCCTGTTCATAGTGATTCTGAACTGTATCCTAATGCTGTTATACCTCAACATGTAGACAAACAAAGCCATCCTTGTCAAGATGTTAATGACAATAAACCCAGTGAAGATCAGCATTACTGTGATGATGATTGTGATAGTACAGCTGTAGCTCACTCTGAAGGATGGGATGATGACTGGGATCAAGAAATTGTAACAGACTCACATCAGGAAGTCGCCATGGATAAAACCAATAGGTGTGAAATGACAAATTATGATGTGGAAACTGTGACAAAATATGTAGATTCCCTAACAGTCTTGGACAGTAAAGAAAATTACAAGGAATCTCATGCTCATTCCACAGAATCTTACATGCCAGATCTTCCTTCACAAGGATCTCACCAGCATTTTACCCATCATTCTCAGTTTCAACAAGAACATCAACATTATTCTGCATCCAAACAAAATTTCTTATTGGACACAAAATCCCATGATCAGACAAGAGACGAACTCCATGATGAGTCCTCACAGAATTATGAAGTGGGGCGGTTGTCGAATAATTACCCAGAGGTACCTCTAAAATCCAGTAGTCAGAATGAACCTACACTCCAGGAGCTACAGTTAAACTATCCCTCATCTCATCAAACAGACCAGTTTGAAAGACCAGAGCACTCTTGTCAGTATGAGCCACAAAATCGGTGCATAGTTCAAACAAATCGATCCTCTCCTTCACTGAGTCCTGCTCCCAAATTAACATTCCTACCACCAGGTGAATCTGAAGTATTATCTCAGAGTCATTTTCCACCATCGACTGCATCTCTGCTTCCTATTCAACATGATGCCCATCAGCAAGTTGCTGTTCACAGTTACCGCCAGTATCAGGATATGAATCAAGAGATTGTACCCAACCCATTGATTTCAGTACCTCCAATGCCTGATCCCATTTTTTCAAGAATTCCTGATGGGGCATCATCTGTTCCTGAAGTGCCTTCTGTTGTAGGTAGGCATATCTTGTTTTGTATGTTTACATAGTGTTTCCCCAGTTTTTAATTTTAATAATTGTCAGCTTTAAAGGTAAAGACAGAGAAACAGCAGATATTCAACAGCTTGATCGTTAACTCCCACTTCACTGGCACTTTCATGCTTTTGGTCTTGTCTAAATACAGCAAACTCCATTGCAGCAGCTTAAATATCTCATACTTTTATTTTTGTCAATTCTCCCACTTGCATCATTTTTATTCTATCTTTCCTTTTCGGTTATCACATTGTTTTTCTTTTAATACACCAGCCATCTCCTACCGAGGTAGGGCGACCCAAACAAAAGAAGAAACACTTATATGCAGGTTTTCTTTTTACATGCAGTAATTTATACGAAAAGAAAGGGTTACTAACCCCTTGTTCCAGGCATTTTAGTCGCCTCTTCCAACACGCATGGCTTATGGAAGGAGGATTCTTTTCCACTTCCTCATAAAGATGAAAGGCAAATAAATAAGAGCAAGAACTATTAAGAAAAATTGAAGAAAACTCAGATGGGTGTTTATACATATACATGTGTGTGTGTGTTTGTAGTGTGACCTAAGTGTTTGAGACAAAGAAAAGCCATCATCAATCATACCATTATATAAAACAATTACAGGTTTCTGTTTCACACTTGTTCGATGGGTTATCCCATTGTTATATACTGGAACATGTAAGGAATTAGTTGAGGAAAGGTTTAAAAGTGCCTCAGTGCATGTGTTCAAGCACAAGTGGCAAGGTTGCCCATGCAACAAATGCTTAATGCGGAAGAGTTGGGGATAATGCAGAACCATAAATTTCAAATTTTTTTTTGCAATTGAATTTCAGATTTTTGAAGCTGCAACTAATTTTCCATACAGCAATTAAAGTAGCATGAGGAACTGTAATTCTTTCACGTTTTTTTAATACCATAGTCCCAATCATGGCAAGCAGCCTAAAATTTCAGTATTGCTATTGTATTTCTTAGTTCTCCCTCCAAATTTGTAGGGATAATTTCCTAGAGGTTCCAGTGAATTCAGAAACCATGACTAGCACTAGTTGTTGCCTGTATGTTTATCCGTTGTAGCTCGGCACGTAATGAGGCAAACAGATTACTGGGATTTATATCAAGAAGTGTAAGCAACAGAAGTTCACCGGTTATATTACAGCTTTATACATCATTAGTAAGGCCTCGCCTAGATTATGCAGCTCAGTTCTGGTCTCCATATTACAGAATGGACATAAATTCGTTAGAATGACTAAATTAATACATAGCATTAGAAATCTTCCTTATGAAGAGAGATTAAAGACCCTTAAATTACATTCACTTGTTACATGAAGAATGAGGGGAGACATGATCGAGGTGTATAAGTGGAAGATGGGTATTAATAAAGGGGACATTAATAAGGTCTTGAGGATATCTCTCCAAGAGAGAACCCGCAGTAATGGATTTAAATTAGACAAGTTTAGATTTAGAAATGACATAGGAAAGTATTGGTTTGGAAATAGGGTAGTTGAGGAGTGGAACAGTCTACCTAGTTGGGTTATTGAGGCTAAAACCTTGGGTAGTTTCAAATTTAGGTTGGATAAATGCACGAGTGAGAGGGGTTGGATTTGAGTGGGACTTGCAAATGAGTGGATAGTTATCAGAGCTTATTTCTTGGGTAGCATTGAAAATTAGGTTGGGCAAATGTTTTGTTAGTGGGATGGATCGTAAAGGACCTGCCTAGTATGGGCCAACGGGCCTGCTGCAGTGATCCTCCTTTCTTATGTTCAATGGGGGTTTTAATAATTTGTACTGTTACTGTACAATGTATTCATCTTTCTGCTAAATACTTTAACATTAATTCATTCTACTCTCTCTTTTTCAAGCTACACAATTGTATGCTTTCATGGTAAAGTTTAAAATTTATTCAAACAGACTCTGCTTCCTTATCTCTGAGCTGTTCATTCTATCCTAACAAACAGTTGGCTGCAATTCCTATTGTATTAATTTAGATCTCTCCTTTAAACTTCTTGATAATGGTCATGTTTCTCTCTCTTCTAGATTCAGCATATTTAGTTATAGTGTACATGATGCTTATCTTGAGACTCTTCCAGAGTTTCATTCTGCCTCTGTAACAGAGTTAAAGGTCAAGCCTCCCAGGTGGTAGCCTGATCAGTCAGGCTGTTGCATCTTGCATGTTAACATTACTTCACCAGCATGTCTGATAAAATACCTTCTTCAAATAGTTAAATTTTTTTTCAGTTTTGTTTCTCATTTACTGGTACTGTAATAAGTTTAGGAACAGCAAAATTCTGATGTACTTTTGGCACTCTACCTTCCTAACAAAGAAATTTTTTATTTGCAATAAATGTAATATAGAGCAATGGGCTAGTAACCCCTTCTGTATAAATTGCTAAATTTAAAAAGAAAAACTTTCGTTATTCTTTTTAGGTCACCCTGCCTCGGTGGGATACAGCCGGTTTGTCATTAAAAAAAATGCAATATACTTGTACTTTAAAGTGATTTGAAAAGAAAGTATAATTTCCTTGAGCACGATGCCTGGTGTAACAAGGATTAAGGGGTTTTAAGATAGTTCCCAGGGTAATGGTGGGTTGTGTTTTGCAGTAATCATTGCATGGGATTCTTTTAGTACAAATGTACCATGAGAATCCTTAATTTTTAATGTTGAGCTGCATGCTAAGCTTGCAGAAATCAAAATCATCTTGACATAAACTTCATGAAAAAAGTTTTTACAGTGTTCTTAGACTCCCTCAAGGTGTACTCATGTCATTGAAACAATAGATGAATAAGTCACATGTGCAACATTTGGGTGTCTTTATTGTTGAGATATTTTACCAACCAGTGACTGTCAGTCCAACAGAGAATAATTCTGGAAGGCATGGAGTAGTAGTTTGAGATTATCAGTCCCTCAGCCTTGAAAGGTGTTCAGCCCATCAGTCTTAAGTTATCAGTCAGCCAATTGAAGGATTTTAGAAATTATTCACTTGATCAGAATTGATTGACATGGTAAGTCATGGTTACTGTATGTCCATCCACCTGCTTTAGTGTGAGTTCAGCCAATATTGAAAAGTTTTGTCAAGTTTACTGTTGGCATTTTTAACATTGAGGTATCTGGTTAATATTTAAACACAACCAGAGATATGCATTTATTATTTGCTCCAAATGGAATTGATACATTGAACAAATTTAATAATAAAAAGCAGCAACCAGGGACTCTATTCATAAAGTTATGTGAAATAGCTTTAACATAAAATTTACATAAGTATATTTTTACTTGGAAAATAAATTTTTATTAATATTTGTTAGTCTATTTTCATGAAATTTTTGGGATTTCAGGTGTAGTACAAGATGGAAGCAACCAGTTAGTAGAGAATGTTCTGAGGCCTTTAGTAATGGGTAATGACCTGGAGAGATCTGAACGCCCATCATCCTCTCAGTCTGCTAGCTCTCAGCCAGTTTGTCCTCCCTCTCAGCCCATCCATCCTCCGTCTTCACACACCCCACTGGATCGGCCAGCCTCTAACCAGTCTGCTCACTCAGTGCATTCCATTCATTCTGGGCATTCAACTCAATCTGTACATGGTGCTCATTCATTTATCAATCAAAACCAGGAAGTTCCTATACAGGAGAAATCTGAATTATCTATACCTCATTCATCTGTCAGTCAAGTTAGTCAGCAGGAGGAATTTAGTACTGTAGTGCCAACTAACTCAGTAGATCTTGGTATGGATCCAACAGCTCCTCCATCCAGTCAACTTGTAGGTCCACCACCAGTGTCTGGACCTCTTGGGGTAGTACCGAGCTTAAAAGCAAGAAAGGGTAGTCCTTTCCAGCCACCTACTGTGAAGCAGTCTACCTCTAGCCCTTCCTCAGAATCAACATATCAAACTCAGTATCTCTCTTCACCCCAGATTACTCCAGTACCTCTTCCAGTCTGTCAGGATGTTAGTGCCAACCTTGAAACACTTCCTGATAATAATGAACAACCTTCTGCAACAGAGAAAAATGGAGTGCCTTTGTGGTCCAGTTCAGAAAACATGTCAATGAATGTTAAGTTAGCTGTTGCTGCCCCATCTGTTGACATTGTAGTTTCAAGCCAATCACGGCTTGCTTCAAACACTATTCCTTTGGTCATACCTGGCATGATGGAGGAAAAGACCGAGAGAGATAAACTGGTTAATTATCAGCATGCTAATAGTGTTCACCCAGAGCCTCCAGCTGCTCATAGTGCTAATTTGCAAGCTGCAGTAGTAATGCCACAAGTTCAGTCTCTTTCCAGTATGTCTGCCATTCCTACTGCCTCAGCTGTTTTAGACCTGTCACAGCCTTCCAGATCCATAGTTGAACCTAGAGGTGATGGATCACAAACTGAAAATGATAGACCAAACTTCAGTCGTATGATTCCTGGGGAATCTAGCAAAGGTGAATCCACTACTGCATCTACTTACCAAGCTCCATCTGTGGTTCCATCCATGCCATCAGAAAGGGTTGTTACAGGGAATGATAACCCACAGCCGATGTTACCAGTACGAATAAAACAGGAACCCTCGGATGTAAGATCTCCACCTGATGGTCCATACACTAGTGACTTATCAAATAAGGGTGCTTCTGTTGTGCCACCTATTCGGAGTGAAACCATTGGTTCTGAAGAACCTACATCACGTAACTTTACTTCAGCAAATTCAGGGAGCCGCTCTGATTTGGCTAATGATCACAGAGGTGAAAGGGGTGCACGTTGGGAGAGAGACCACTCCCGTGACAGAGACACTCGAAGCAGTGATAGATATCGTGATAGGAGCCGTGAACATAGCAGAGACTATTACAGAGATGATTCTCCTCATAGCAGGCGTTCTTATGATCGTGAGTATGATAGGAAGTATGAAGATGAAAGGAGACGCTGGCGAAGAGAATCAGATGATGACGACGACGATGGTGAGCGACGATTTTATGAATCTCGAGATAGACGTGAAAGAGCATATAGGGATGAATTAGACCGTTACAGTGACCGACCCATAAAAGATGATAAAGATAGATCACTTCCAAGAGACAAGCGCCATGACTACCGTGACAGATCAAAAGATTACTACAGAAACTATGATGATGATCCTTACTATGGAAGAGGAGACAGGTTGGTATATTTATCAATTATCTTTTCCATTGGATGAATGTCAGGACCCTATGCAGCATTAATTAAAATTTAAGTCCTCAGTTTCTGAATATTGGTTAAAACTGGAGTGGCCTTTGAATACCTGTTTTAGGAAAAATTATTTGGGACCCTCTTGTCATTAATAGTTCTGTATTACAACACAGTCTAGTAAACTGCTATATTTTTCAAACTATAATATCCTCCTGGAAGGCTCGACTAGAATGCCAGTTGATGCAATTTAGGATTTTTATTACTATACTAGATATTATTTATATTTTGTATATTTAAAAAGATGTGGTGTATATATAAAAAATGTAGGGTAATTATTTCCACTGTTGATGCTCTTTTGAAAATGTGAGGAGAATAAAAAGATGCTTTGAGAGAACACTAAGTTGCAGGTGCTGTATGATTTAACTTTAGATATCTATAGTACTGTTATGATAAAGATTTTTTTGTGGTTTAATACTGAACAACTTCATTTAGCAAATCCTGTAGTAATAGCATTAGTAGTACAGTGGACCCCCGCATAGCGATTTTAATCCGTGCAAGAGGGCTCATTGTTATGCGAAATGATCGGCATGCGAATGAATTTTCCTCATAAGAAATAATGGAAATCAAATTAATCCGTGCAAGACACCCAAAAGTATGAAAAAAAAAAATTTCACCACATGAAATGTTAATTTTAATACACACAAACTGAAAAAGGCATGCACACTTACATGACACTTACTTTTATTGAAGATCTGGTGATGATTGATGGGATGGGAGGAGGGGAGAGAGTGTGTTAGTGTTTAGAAGGGGAATCCCCTTCTATTAAGACTTGAGGTGTCGAGTCCTTTTCTGGGGTTACTTCCCTTCTTCTTTTAATGCCACTAGGACCAGCTTCAGAGTCACTGGACTTCTTTTGCACAACATATCTGTCCATAGTGGCCTGTACCTCTCGTTCCTTTATGACTTCCCTAAAGTGTTTCACAACATTGTCAGTGTACAGGTTGCCAACACGGCTTGCAATAGCTGTGTGAGGGTGATTCTCATCCATAAAGGTTTGCACTTTCAGCCACATTGCACAGATTTCCTTAATCTTTGTAGTAGGCAACTTCTTCAATTTCTCTCTCCCCTCCTCTGAACCAGTTTCCTCAGGTCTGGCCTCTTGCTGTTGAAGTTGATCTATCAGCTCATCAGTGGTTAGTTCTTCATTGTCCTCCTCCACCAACTCTTCCACATCCTCCCCACTAACCTCCAACCCCAAGGACTTTCCCAATGCCACAATGGATTCCTCAACTGGCATAATCCTCTCAGGGTTAGCCTCAAACCCTTCAAAATCCCTTTTGTCTACACATTCTGGCCACAGTTTCTTCCAAGCAGAGTTCAAGGTCTTCTTAGTCACTCCCTCCCAAGCCTTACCTATAAGGTTTACACAATTGAGGATATTAAAGTGCTCTCTCCAAAACTCTCTTAGAGTCAGTTGAGTTTCTGAGGTCACTACAAAGCACCTTTCAACAGAGCTTTTGTGTACAGTTTTTTGAAGTTTGCAATAACCTGCTGATCCATGGGCTGCAGGAGAGGAGTGGTATTAGGAGGCAAAAACTTCACCTTAATGAATTTCATGTCCCCATAAAGTCGCTCTGCCACGTCTGTAGGATGACCAGGGGCATTGTCTAACACCAGGAGGCACTTAAGTTCTAATTCTTTTCAGTTAGGTAATCTTTCACATTGGGGGCAAATGCATGGTGTAACCAGTCATAGAAAAAGTCCCTAGTGACCCATGCCTTACTGTTTGCCCTCCACAGCACACACAAATTCTCCTTGAGGACATTCTTTTGCCTGAACGGTCTGGTAGTTTCAGAGTGATACACTAATAAAGGCTTCACTTTGCAATCACCAGTAGCATTGGAACACATCAACAAAGTAAGCCTGTCTTTCATAGGCTTATGTCCTGGGAGTGCCTTTTCCTCCTGAGTAATGTAGGTCCTGCTTGGCATTTTCTTCCAAAAACAGGCCTGTTTCATCACAATTAAACACTTGTTCAGGTTTCAGTCCTTCACTGTCTATGTACTCCTTGAATTCCTGCACATATTTTTCAGCTGCTTTGTGGTCCGAACTGGCAGCCTCACCATGCCTTATCACACTATGTATGCCACTACGCTTCTTAAATCTCTCAAACAACCTTTGCTGGCCTTAAATTCACTCACATCATCACTAGTTGCAGGCATTTTTTAATTAAATCCTCATGCAACTTCCTAGCCTTTTCGCTTATGATCGCTTGAGAGACGCTATCTCCTGCTAGCTGTTTTTCATTTATCCACACCAATAAGAGTCTCTCAACATCTTCCATCACTTGCGATCTCTGTTTCGAAAACACAGTTAAACCTTTGGCAAGAACAGCTTCCTTGATTGCCTTTCTGTTGCCCACAATAGTAGCGATGGTTGATTTGGGTTTCTTGTACAACCTGGCCAGGTCGGCGACACGCACTCCACTTTCATACTTATCAATGATCTCTTTCTTCATCTCTATAGTAATTCTCACCCTTATTGCTGTAGGGTTGGCACTAGAAGCTTTCTTGGGGCCCATGGTCACTTATTTTGCAGATAAAATCACCAAAAACAGTGTAATAATATGAAATGTTCCGATTGTATGCTTGGATGTTACCACGGAGGCTGGCTGGTAAACAATGCCACTGGTGGCACATGTGAGGCTGGCTAAGGGCGCACATTGGACGCGTCTCGGACGAACAGCAGTGAGCGGGTTTTTGAGCGGTATGCGAGGCAAAATTTTTGCGATAAAAGCGAGCGGTATGCGGATTAAACGTTATGTGATGCCAACGGTATGCGGGGGTCCACTGTACTATGTAGTTGTAATGCCTTCACAAATTAGTATTTTTTATTTCATCATGAGATTAAGAATCTGTTAGCTACCTTGTACAATCCTGATGACAAATGTAAACAGGGTGCATTAGGTGTTAAGGATCATTGTTTTTGTTTAGGTCTCAGCCTGTATCACGCTCTAGCAGTATCAACAACCTAGACAATGATGGTGAGCGCCCTGGTCACTCGCATCGATCTCGTCACGATTATTACGATCGACATGACCGTCAGGACTCCCACTCGAGGGACACAGATCCTAGGGACAGGGATGCCCCATATTCCAGAGAGTCGAGGGAGAAACACTTCTCTCAGCGAGGATGGGAGGGTAGAGAACCTCGAGATCGTCGAGATGCCCGCTACTATGGTCTGAGGAGTAAGTATCCAGATACTCTTTTGTTTGTATGTACTGTACTGTGATTATTTTCCTTACATCTCTACCATGTCCCAGTAAGGTAGGGTGACCTGATAGAAAAAAAAATGCTGCACACTGTCATTCATTCAATCACTCTCCTGCCAGAACCATACTGATATCACAGCTTACATAACCCTTCAAATACCAACATCCCCGCCCCTCCTTCAGAGTGCAGACACTATATTATTTCCCAGCCCTCAGGACTCGAGTCTGGCTAACCGGTTTCCCCAAAGCCTTCATAAATATTACCTTGCTTATACCCCGACAGCACATCAAATTAGAACTACTTGCCTTCACTCACTCCTATCTAACATGCTTGCACAAATCCATTTTATGCCTAAGCCCCCTAGTACTCAAAACCTCCCTTACCCTCTTCCTCCAGCCCTTTCTGAGGTGAGAATATTTGCTGTTTGGAGGGCGGGCCTATCAGAGGTTTGTTGCCATTGGGAGTGCATTTTGTGTATCGTATAGTATGAATGTTATATACAGCACTAAACATAAACCAGTAATATTCAAAGCCTGGCTTGCTTTGTATTACTGTACTGTATATCATCATGATTTCTTTTAAGCAAGCAAGAAAACTACTAAAAAACTGCAAAATTTGCATTAAGCACAGGATTATGTAACAAAAAAAAAGGCACAGCACCGTGACTGGAACGATACACAAATAACCCGCACATAAAAGGGAGAAGCTTACGACGACGTTTCGGTCCGATTTGGACCATTTACAAAGTCACACTAACCAGAAGTGGAGCAGGATGGCTATATATAGGCAGGAAGAGGTGGTGGGGGTAGTAGTAGTAGTAGAGGTAGTAGTAGTGGTAGAGCATTATGTAATTTAATCATAGGATAACCGAGCTAAACATAAAAATTAATGTATTATCCTGGCATAAAAAAAAGTGGATAAAAATGTTATAGAGGGAGTAGTAGGTAAATTTGGGGTGCCAGGGGTAAATGTAAATGGGGAGCCTTTAATTGAGCTATGTGTAGAAAGAAATTTGGTAAAAAGTAATACATATTTTATGAAAAAGAGGATAAATAAATATACAAGGTATGATGTAGCACGTAATGAAAGTAGTTTGTTAGATTATGTATTGGTGGATAAAAGGTTGATGGGTAGGCTCCAGGATGTACATGTTTATAGAGGGGCAACTGATATATCGGATCATTATTTAGTTGTAGCTACAGTTAGAGTAAGAGGTAGATGGGAAAAGAGGAAGGTGGCAACAACAAGTAAGAGGGAGGTGAAAGTGTATAAACTAAGGGAGGAGGAAGTTCGGGGCGAGATATAAGCGACTATTGGCAGAAAGGTGGGCTAGTGCAAAGATGAGTAGTGGGGGGTTGAAGAGGGTTGGAATAGTTTTAAAAATGCAGTATTAGAATGTGGGGCAGAAGTTTGTGGTTATAGGAGGGTGGGGGCAGGAGGAAAGAGGAGTGATTGGTGGAATGATGAAGTAAAGGGTGTGATAAAAGAGAAAAAGGTAGCTTACGAGAGGTTTTTACAAAGCAGAAGTGTTATAAGAAGAGCAGAGTATAATGGAGAGTAAAAGAAAGGTGAAGAGAGTGGTGAGAGAGTGCAAAAGGAGAGCAGATGAAAGTGGGGAGAGGCACTGTCAAGAAATTTTAATGAAAATAAGAAAAAATTTTGGAGTGAGTTAAACAAGTTAAGAAAGCCAAGGGAAAATATGGATTTGTCAGTTAAAAACAGAGTAGGGGAGTTAGTAGATGGGGAGATGGAGGTATTAGGTAGATGGCGAGAATATTTTGAGGAACTTTTAAATGTTAAGGAAGAAACAGAGGCAGTAATTTCATGCACTGGCCAGGGAGGTATACTATCTTTTAGGAGTGAAGAAGAGCAGAATGTAAGTGTGGGGGAGGTACGTGAGGCATTACGTAAAATGAAAGGGGTAAAGCAGCTGGTACTGATGGGATCATGACAGAAATGTTAAAAGCAGGGGGGGATATAGTGTTGGAGTGGTTGGTACTTTTGTTCAATAAATGTATGAAAGAGGGGAAGGTACCTAGGGATTGGCGGAGAGCATGTATAGTCCCTTTATATAAAGGGAAAGGGGACAAAAGAGACTGTAAAAATTATAGAGGAATAAGCTTACTGAGTATACCAGGAAAAGTGTACGGTAGGGTTATAATTGAAAGAATTAGAGGTAAGACAGAATGTAGGATTGCGGATGAGCAAGGAGGTTTCAGAGTGGGTAGGGGATGTGTAGATCAAGTGTTTACATTGAAGCATATATGTGAACAGTATTTAGATAAAGGTAGGGAAGTTTTTATTGCATTTATGGATTTAGAAAAGGCATATGATAGAGTGGATAGAGGAGCAATGTGGCAGATGTTGCAAGTATATGGAATAGGTGGTAAGTTATTAAATGCTGTAAAGAGTTTTTATGAAGATAGTGAGGCTCAGGTTAGGGTGTGTAGAAGAGAGGGAGACTATTTCCCTGTAAAAGTAGGTCTTAGACAGGGATGTGTAATGTCACCATGGTTGTTTAATATATTTATAGATGGGGTTGTTAAGGAAGTAAATGCTAGGGTTTTTGGGAGAGGGGTGGGATTAAATTATGGGGAATCAAATTCAAAATGGGAATTGACACAGTTACTTTTTGCTGATGATACTGTGCTTATGGGAGATTCTAAAGAAAAATTGCAAAGGTTAGTGGATGAGTTTGGGAATGTGTGTAAAGGTAGAAAGTTGAAAGTGAACATAGAAAAGAGTAAGGTGATGAGGGTGTCAAATGATTTAGATAAAGAAAAATTGGATATCAAATTGGGGAGGAGGGGTATGGAAGAAGTGAATGTTTTCAGATACTTGGGAGTTTGACGTGTCGGCGGATGGATTTATGAAGGATGAGGTTAATCATAGAATTGATGAGGAAAAAAGGTGAGTGGTGCGTTGAGGTATATGTGGAGTCAAAAAACGTTATCTATGGAGGCAAAGAAGGGAATGTATGAAAGTATAGTAGTACCAACACTCTTATATGGGTGTGAAACTTGGGTGGTAAATGCAGCAGCGAGGAGACGGTTGGAGGCAGTGGAGATGTCCTGTTTAAGGGCAATGTGTGGTGTAAATATTATGCAGAAAATTCGGAGTGTGGAAATTAGGAGAAGGTGTGGAGTTAATAAAAGTATTAGTCAGAGGGCAGAAGAGGGGTTGTTGAGGTGGTTTGGTCATTTAGAGAGAATGGATCAAAGTAGAATGACATGGAAAGCATATAAATCTATAGGGGAAGGAAGGCGGGGTAGGGGTCGTCCTCGAAAGGGTTGGAGAGAGGGGTAAAGGAGGTTTTGTGGGTAAGGGGCTTGGACTTCCAGCAAGCGTGCGTGAGCGTGTTAGATAGGAGTGAATGGAGACGAATGGTACTTGGGACCTGACGATCTGTTGGAGTGTGAGCAGGGTAATATTTAGTGAAGGGATTCAGGGAAACCGGTTATTTTCATATAGTCGGACTTGAGTCCTGGAAATGGGAAGTACAATGCCTGCACTTTAAAGGAGGGGTTTGGGATATTGGCAGTTTGGAGGGATATGTTGTGTATCTTTATATGTGTATGCTTCAGACTGTTGTATTCTGAGCACGTCTGCAAAAACAGTGATAATGTGCGAGTGTGGTGAAAGTGTTGAATGATGATGAAAGTATTTTCTTTTGGGGATTTTCTTTCTTTTTTGGGTCACCCTGCCTCGGTGGGAGACGGCCGACTTGTTGAAAAAAAAAAAATAATATATATATATATATATATATATATATATATATATATATATATATATATAATATATATATATATATATAATATATATATATATATATATATATATATAAAATACACTTACGTACTGACAAATATACCCCTGTACATAAACTGACATGTTTCTCTATATAAACTTGGATATGCACTAGTAGATTTACCTATGTAAACTGTAAATATACCTGTTAATACAATGACAGATAAAGCTCTGTATAAACTGACATGTATATATTACAGTATATTTCTGTAAACTGAGAAGTATATACTGTTAATAATGATATATAATGCCTCTGTCGGGCTACACGCTGGCATATACACTAAGCAATATACACCTGAGTATATTCCGTGAGGCTATTGGGTCATGGCTGTACCTGTTTTCTTCTTGCCTTAGGGGGTGGATGCCACGTATTGCTTTTAGAACCGGCGCTAAATGCATTAAAGTATATTTTATTCCGTTTATCTCTTGTTTTGTGTGATAACATTCGAATAGACATATATATGGTTTATGTCATTGAGGGGTTTTGAGCTCGCCAGTATATATATATAAAAAGGTGCATGGTAACTTTTCGAGAGGCAAGCGGAGAGAGATTCATGTTCCTTCTAGCAGGCGGTAGAATTTACTTTCTTATTGGTATTACTTTATTTTTAGCTTAAACTTTGCTAATTATCTTCAAAGGTTAAGCAAAATCAGTAATGGAGATGTTTTTTCAAATGTTGATTATAATGGAAAGTACTGTCTTACAGAGGCTAGAATGCGTGCGCAGCATTTGTTGTTGGGCTGACTGTGACGTCGATGCCACGTGTCCTATCAGTGTTGAGCCAGCAGTGGTGGGGAGAGGGAGAGTATTTGCTGTGCTCCTAAGACATATGGTTGACTTATTTTCATATATAGTATAATATTCCGAACATATGTACATAGTATTTTATATGAAATATTTTTTTATTTGAACTATATTAGTATAATTCTAAAATAAAATTTCTGAAACATGGTGAATTACTCGTTTGAGAGAACGTGAGCGCACATAGTTATTTTTTTACATAAATTAATTGTGGCTTAGGTAAAGACGTAGAGAAAGTGGAAGTGACAATATGGTCCAGTTGTCATCCAGCGGGGAAGTGGCCCGAGGTCCCCCGTTTTCCCACCCCCATCCCGAGGTGACGCAACCCACCCAGCTGACTCCAACTACACACCACAACAACAAACC